AGGAGGCACTCGACACAAATTTTCAGCGTTCGTCGATGATGCAACTGTCTTTTTACACGAAGCGAGACATATTTCACGTGTCCTGCAGATCTTAGAACAGTATGGCCGTCTGTCGGGTCTTCGGATGCAACCCCGCAAGAGCAAGCTCCTTTTGCTAAACTTAGCGGTTCAATGTGAGGAGGTCTGTGGCATCCCAGTGCTTTGTCACGGAGAAACGACGCGATACTTAGGGTATCTAATTGGGACTGGTGAGCTCACGGACGTGAATTGGGCAGCACGCATACGCAATGTCCAACGACGTCTTGCCGCAGCAACGCAGCTTGCCACAAGTGTCGAGGTCCGTGTCTTGATACTCAATGTCATCATGCTACCATCAGTTTTATTCACAGCGGCGGTATTTGATCTCCCGGTCTGGGCTGAAAAACAGCTCCGGAATCTCCAGAAGCAGTTTTTGTGGAACTGCTCGACCAGTACCGAAGCCACGAGGCACAAAATGAACCCGGCGCTCCTTCACGCACCTAAACAAGCAGGAGGTGTCGGGCTCGCTTCTATTGTGATCGCATGCAAGAATCAGAGATTAAAACATGCTATATTATGGCTAACAAAACGCAAGGATATCTACTTTTCGGCATGGCAAGGGTGGTTCTTTGGTTGGACTGCGAGCACGGGGCCTGCTATCATATCGCCGCTAGACGACCGATCGTCTCGGCGGTCTCACTCTCGACGGCACACCGGAAATAACCTTGTGCAGCTGCTACAGCCGTGGCTGATCCCAAGTATACCAGATCTCGCAAGCAGGAAGCAACGGTTCATGGAGGAGCTAGCGCGTCTGTCTTCGACGGCCATCAGCTGGAGTACATCGGCGGAATGGATAGTGAAGCTTTCACGACCATTGTCTCGCTGTTCCCGCGCGATGACGGATGAAGAGCAAACCTTTTGGCCCACGTACTGTTGGGCTAATAACCCTTGGATATTAGATCGACAGGGAGAACCCCTGACCGATGTCAAGTATGACCGAATCCGACCTTGCGCCATCGAGGAGCTGGGCCTGCGGAGACTCGAAGTCCTCACCTACTCCATAGTCATCCCCTCGGTCGGTCACAGGTTCCATCAACAGGCCAAGCTGCGTCGCTGGGGGATAGCGATACTGCTAAGTGCGCCTCATTTGACAGTCGGGGACAGCCTCCTTGTTCAGCGACCCCTGCGCCTGCGGCACCCACCTGCCTTGGAACGGGCATATGAATGGAGCCTACTAGCACCGGGACATGTGCAGGGGACAGTTGAGTGTCCGTACCCGGAGCAGCGAATTCTTATCCAGCTCGAGCAGGAGCAAGACGGTATTCACTGGTTCATCGCGGTAGACAACGTTGACGATCAGCGAACGGCGATCGACTGTCAGACGCTACGCCGGAGGGAAGCCGCCCAAGGGATCGTCTTTTACGCGCATCCGCACATCCATGGACTTCCGTGGAGTGTCCCAGACTCTGTCGCAAACAAACACGTCCAGCGGGCGTTAAAAACCCAACCGTTTCGGTTGTTGAAATGGTCAGGACTTGCACATAGTCTACCGGTGTCCATGCTCGAGGAGGCAGCGCGTACTAGCGCATGGCAAGCGGGGGCATTATTACAGACACCAGGTTTTCTGTGGGCACACGGATCCGAACTAACATCATACCAGGTCTGGGTCTGCTATCGTGTCGCGGTTCGGCAACTAAACCTGCATTTTACGGGGAGGGGGCTTGACCCTTCTTGCCGCAAGCTTCATTGCTGTAGTGGGGAGAACGAGACGCTGGAGCACATCTTCTGGGCCTGCCCCTGCGCGCAGGCCTGTTGGCAGAAACTGGTATGCCATTGGACGGGAGAACGCTGGGGGCTGAATCAGCTCCTCGACTTTCGCTCCAATTGTGCAAGTCGGTCGGCACCGCCGCTATCCAAGGTGGTCGAAGATCATTTAAGGCGAAATCATCCGGATGAAGATTTAGAATATGCGAAGGTCTGGCGGAGGCTCTGGCGCCTGCTGAGCAGCATCTGTGTAACTACGTTGTGGATTCGACGGAATAGAGTCGTTTTCAAACGCGAGGCAGTCACGCTCGCAGAAAGCGTCGAGGAGTTTTGGCAAACAGGCATGCGGCAACTCCAGGCTGTTGCAAAGCGGGAATTCCGCAGGACCGAGACGAGAATTCAAGGAGCACGCCTGCTGTTATGTCATCGCCAACTCGCAAGGCAACCAAGAGAGCCGTCGCCAATGGTGACCAGCCCCGTACAACCACCGGACTCGAACGAGGCACCGGCGTTGCTAACCAGGCTTAAGATCTATCAGACATCTTGCAACCGGTAAATGGTTAAATAGACAAGTCTGCTTCTCTCTAAGGTTGCAAGATGTCTGTAAAGTTCCTAAGCTCGGATGGCATCGCCGGTGCTCATACGAGTCCGGTGGATGTACGGGGCGTGTCACGTAAAGTGACGCCCTCGGTGTATCCGACGAAGCTGCTGTAGCCAAGGGACACACGCGTATCGTTCTTGATCTGTTGCGGCCGCTCGGGCGGCCGGATGGTCAAATTATGTGCAATGGCCGAAGCTGAGGCACAGTTCGCAGGGAAATCCCGATGACCGCTTGGTCGGCCCCTCGACGTTGAGTGCGATCACCGACGTAACTACAAGGCGTGGGGAACGCCAACTCGCCGTAATATCTCCCCGAGGAGCTTATCCATCTGCGATGGTGGCTTCCATTTCATCCGGTAATCAGTGGCATCGTTTATTGTGCTTCCTTCAGTTTTCGTGCATGTTCCCGATAAACTGATCGTGACTGCTTTGTGTCTCTTTGTAAAGTAACCCGTTCCACCTGTTTGGGCAGTATACGAAATATTTAAGCAGACAACTTGCAAGTAGCTCGGTACTCTCTACTACTCTTATTATAAAGCCACTGTAAGCACACACACACACTCACGACTACCGGCACGCCACGCACACGCACAGAACTCATCGCCCACGTGTTAAATCTTTGCAATGGTCATGTCGATATTAACCGGAGAGCTCAAGGTGTCAAATGACCGATTAAAGTCTTCGCGCTTGTCATCCAGCGCCTTCTTCTTGACAGTGTAGGCGACGACAGCTGAAGCGATGCCACCCACGACCGCTAACACCGCAAACGACACGAGCACAGGACTCGTGTGCGGCGAGAAATCGTTCGACTTGGTGTTGATCTTCATGGTGTCGTTCCATACATCTTGCTGGTGAGAGTGGGCTGCTGCTGTTCTCTCTACACGATCCTCGCTTGACTGTAAAATGGACACTTCACTGCTCAATTCATCGGCCGCAATGACCTTCCCAGCTCCAAACTTCTCACCACGCTTGGTAGTAGTGTTTTGATCCAGACGGCCAAAGAAGTTGCTGACTTCATTCTGCTGGCTGTACACACCACTGTCCGCAGCAGACGGAGCTACAGCTGATATCGGATCACTTGTCGGCGTTTGGTTGTCCACTCGCCCGCTTTGAGTCCAGTCCCTTTGACTCGTTGGACTCATTAAGTTCTGCGTACTGCTCGCTCCAAAGTTGGACGTGCCGGCAGTGCACACGTCGGCCGCCAGTGACAACTTCTCCGTGATCGTCTCGCCTGACACAGACGTGAGCTCGACGTCCACAGCTGAAATGTCGACGTTCGCCCCGTTGTTCAGCAGGAAGTAGTAGCTCGAGTCCACCACCGTCACGTCCTGGTTGGCGATCCGCATACTCGCGACGCCATTGGCAAAGTTGGCCGGTTGAATCGCTAGCCATGAGTTGCTGCTGCCACTCTTGGTGCAGTACTGGATGTTGCCCTTGACAGGGCAGTCGACAAACTTCCACTTGACCTTGTACCGAGACGGGTCACTGTTGCCTCGGAGCTCCTTGAAAACTGTCGACGACAAGTACAAGTCGCCATGACCGCAATCAGAGCACTTGTCCACAATGTACACAAGAGCCGAGCGCGTCGCGTCTCGACGGCATTGAGCGTCGTCGCACGAGACTTCAGCACATCGACCGCAGTTGAGGTTCGACTCCCATTGTTCATTGTTCAGTGCAGCGTAGTTGTCGCCCGCGTCGAAGTCGTACATGAAGTTGCAATCGCCACCCGAGACTCGTCCAAGAGTGTACGACGTGCCCTGTCCATTGAAGTACGAGTCTTCGCCGTTCCCCGCAAGTGCGATCGCAGGCGTCACTGCCGTACCCAACAACCAAAACGGCAAGAACATGACGACGGGTCCGACGTCTCTCGTCTGCGGTGGAAGCAGCAAGAAACGCAAAGATGTGAAATGTCCGTCACAAGGGCATCGACTCGCTATCGATAGGAGGGCGTAGAGGTGGCAGTGGTTGTTGTAAGAAGAGAGCGCACGACATTCCCCACCATTTGGCCCGAATAGACCAGCGGTCATCACAGCTGGAGCGACCGAGTAGAATAGGCGCAACAGCTCGAGCGAGGCATGATCGACGGGGTCTTTTGTGGCCATCGACGACATAATCCGATGGTCAACTTTTCCATCCTATCGTCGGACGTTGTCGTCTACAGAATGGGCTCAAGGCTTTTGGGCATCGCTCTGACGTTACAACTTGCGCGTGTTCTCGGCACGCTATAGGAAGCAACAAGACCTGCTACTTTGTCGACAGCACCACTTGCAACTAGATCGTCGACAGGGTACATGCTCGTGGAACAAAAGTTGATACGGAATGTCTTCATTCGACAACCCTGTGTGTACTCTATCGTCTACACACGCAACGACTGCGATTCTGGTAGTAGCGGCAGTAGTAGTAGTAGTAGTACTAGTAGTGGTTGTGGTTCCTTACCACTGCTGTACCTACCTACCTACCCACCCTCGAACTCTTGACGCCTGCACAATACGCACTAACCAGCCAGACCATGAACCTCCTTCGAGCAACTCGACTCTTGCTCCAGACGACCTCACTTTACGTGCTCTCGCCTCTCATCCCTCCCTCCCTCCCCCTCCGACCTCACTGCTTCCTCTGGCTCAGAACTTGACGATGCTGACTTTCGCAGTCGCCGGTGAGCTGAACGTGTCGAAAGACCGCGTCGTGCACGGACCGCGTTTGCTCCGTCGTTTCTTGTTCGCGACCGTAAAGAAGACGACCGCCAGCGCACAGGCGCCGACGGCAACCAGACCCACAAGAATCACAATCACGAGACTCGTGCCGGACGATTTCTTTGCGTCGTCAGAGGACTCGGCTTCGGCAATCAGGAGCTTGTGATCGGCGGCCGCGGGCTCTTGACGTCGCGTCCTGTCCACGTCCTTCTCGTTCGCCTGTAGGATCGACACGGGGTTCGTCGATGCGGTAGCTGGTTCGACGACCCCCGCCTCGTAAGTGGGCGGCGCCCTGCCAGGCGTCGCCGGGCAGTTTACGAACTCCCACCTGATCGCGTACAGACCCGGTACAGAGCTCCCGGACATGGTCTGAAGCGTTGCCGGCGCCATGTCCAAGCCTTCGTCCTCGCACGTCGGACAGTCGTCGACAATGCGAAGGATCACGGGGGGTCGCTGATTCGCCGCAGAGGCCGCTGTGGCACACGGCCCGGACGCACGTGTTGCAGTTGAGCGTCACGTTTCCTTGGAACCGCTTCACAACGGCGTAGCTGTCGCCAATGTTTGCATTGCACGCTACCGCGGCCGCCTGCCCCAGGGCTTTTGTTGTGGCGGTCCCACCATACGGCAACACGTCGCCCACTGCAGCGGCGCCAACATGGCACACGACGGCGGAAAGGAGCGCCGTCGCGGCTACGACAACGAAATACACTGGTCGGACCATCCGGTTTTCTCTAGTTTCTGTCTCGAGCCGTTTGCTCGTCGGCTGGGAGGAGGAGGAGGAGAAGGAGGAGTAGCGATGCGACTGGTACCGAGTTGGTAATAATACGGAGAAACGTGAAATGACGAGGAGCGTGCGCCGCGCGTGTTTCGGAAGTCGATGGCGCGCGACCGCGAGGGCGAACAAAAAGGAGCCACGAGAGCCGATGGAGGTGAGACACAGGACGGAACTTCCCACCATCGCTTGGACTGCAGGAACGGGCGTCCAATTGTTTTGGAAGCGCAACGTTACACATGCGCGTTCTTGTGCTTTGCCAGCACATGGCCAGGAGCGTAGCAAAGCGATGGCACACTGTCGCAATAGTCGTTGACGTGGTCGTCAGTCATGTGGTTGGCCGCTGTCTGTCTGTCGGTCTGTCTGTCGGTCTGTTTATTAGTGGTCATGTAATAGCTGTTGAACGGGCCACATACGCGCTGTCGTTCGAATCAAAGGCCACGACAGTCACTCAACACGTCTATATTCCAGGAACGTCTCATTGCGGCGTCGAAGCGCACTGCACGCGCCCCATATCTCTCGCCTACAATCTCGTCATCGTGTCACTAAGAATGGCTGGCGAGCTGCGAGTGCTAAAGGGACTTGTCAGGGAATTCGACTCGTCGGTAGGAGTGGCTTTGGCTCGCCTGGCGACGTAGGCGAACGCACCCCACGCCACAGCACAGACGGCAGCCAACACTACGGGCGCAACGAGAAGGAGGTGGGCGTCCGAAGTCGTTGCGGCCGGTCGAGCGGGCGGCGCAAGCGCCTCCTCGTCCATTGCCATGACGTCGCCTGCTTTGTAGTCGCTGTCGTAGGTGAGCTCGTCAAAGTTGTTGAGCACTTTGACCCGCCGACTGGGCCCAAAGTTGGACGTCCCAGGAGTGCACTTGCCCGGCGTGAGCGACAGCGAGTCCGTGATCGTCTCCCCCGCAGTCGACGTGAGGGCAACGGTCACGTTCGACAGGTCCACGCTCGACTCGTTGAGCACGAAAAAAAGCCCGAGTCCAGCATGACCGTCTCGTGGCCGGCGATCGCCACTTTCGTCACGCCGGCCACGGCGTTCACGGGCTGCAGCGCCACCCACGAGCGCGTGCTGCGGCTGTTTGCACAGAACTTGACGTGGCCGCGCACGGGGCAGTCGACGAAGCGCCACCGGATGCCGCTGCGTTGCGAGCGCTCGGAGCGCAGTTGCTTTAGCACGGCGGGCGCGAGGCCCAATCCGCCGACTTTGCACTTCGGACACTCGTCGACAATGTACACTGTGGCCGCTACGGTCGGATCGTCCCCTGACACTTCGGCGCATCGGCCGCAGTTCCGACGTGCGTGCCATTGTTGGCGGTTGATAGCAGCGTAGTAGTCGCCGACGCTCGGGCTGTCCATGAACTGGCAGGCGCCAGCGGACACCGTCTTGAGCGTGTACGCTACGCTGTGGCCGGCGTAAAAGGGGCTTTCGAAAGCCCTTGCGAGCATCGCAGGCAGTAGAGCTGCGAAGCTGCACCAAACACGCGGAAGCGACCGCTGCTTCATGTTGGGGCTCAGGAAGTGGCGTGCGCAGTGGTAATGAGCGATTGATTGCGGCACGGCAGCGGAGCTCAGGCCATTGCCAATCGACGTGTCGTCGCGTCGCGGTCGAAAAGGGACATGGAGACGCGAAGAAGCGATGGCACACACAGAGCGAGACGAGAAGACCGATCGATCAATCGCTCGATCGAACAGACGTGAGCAGCTCATGTGCAAGAGCCCGACGCCTCCGCTGGTTACCAATCGGTCGGGTTTTCATTGCCGCACATCACCGCCGTATCCACGAAATCATAGAGTCAGACATACACACACATAGACACGTAGACGTACGTTCACGTGTGGAGACACACACACACACACACACACACACACACACACACACACACACAGAAAGCACCTGCTGATCGGCTCTTTGGCTCGAGACGGATGGAGTTCATTACATGTGGCTATTACTTCGGTCTACGCCGCAGCAGGTAACTAGTCGCGGGGCCACCACTTGCCCTGCGAGCTTCGCCAGCGCCTCCATCGCAGCGTACTCCTTGACCGAAATCGTCTCGCGCGGCTGAAAGTCCGACGCGCAGAGCAACGCCACAACCGCACCGTCGGGCGCGCGGATCGGGAACCCCACGTAGAACTTGACCTGCGCCTGTTTCACAAGAGACATCTGGGCGAACCGCATGTCCCGTTGCGGGTTCTTCACGACCAGCGGTTTGTCCGCGTAAACAGTGTGGGAGCAGATACTCTCACGTCGTGGGATGACTGTCGTCTCTCGAGGGCGCAAAGGGAACGTACCGATGGCGTGGAGCGTCTCTTTGCCGACCATTGTGATGAACCCAATCGGACAGTTCAACTGCTTCGCTGCCACTTGGGCCAAGAGGTCCAAAGCCGACCGGTCGAACTGAGCGTCCAACATGCCCGACGCGTCAATGTACTGCAGTCGCCTCTCTTCCTTATCTTGTCGCGGCATGGGCGGCAACGGGAGGTTCGGGTCGTGCGTCGAGCTGCTGTCGAACTCGAAAGCGTAGTCCCGGTCCGACCCAGCGACCTCACAGTCCTCGAGTGTGATGCACTTCTCCGTAGCACGCAGACTCTGCTCGACGTGGTGCTCGACGTCTCGCGTCACGTCTTCGACCGAAAAGTCCATTGCAACGTCCTGCTCTTCCTTCGACTCGGTCGGGCGTCTCGACTTCGTCTGCAACGACGAGGCCGCTCGAGTAGACAGCATCAACCGGCCAAGTTCCTCAAGGGCTCGAGACCGCGTTGCTGGATCCCTCGACGCCAATCGGTCGTGCGACATTGACAACGACGAGGCCGAAGGAGTCGGCAATGCACCGGCCTCGTCCGCTTTGCTCTTGTCGATGGCCTCGTGCTCGCTCCGGTCGGGGAACCACTGCTTGTCGTCCCGCACGACGGTCGGTCCTAGAGCCGCTACCAAATTGTCGTTCTCGAACGTACAGGCGTCGACGCGCAGAACGCATTTGATGCAGATGCGGTTCCGACGCACGTCGCCGACAGTGGCTTCGACCTCGTGCAGGTGCGAGCACGTGCGGCAGGCCATGTGGCCGCAGAGCTGGCAGAAAAAGTCGCGTCGGAGGAGCGAGAAGCTCTTCGCACAGACGTGACACGACTGCAGCGCGGCTTCGTCCATGGCGACCGTGAGGAAGTACACGAACGACTGGAACCCGAGTCGTCGGCGCCGGATCACGCGCTCAAACTCCCGAAGCGACCGCGTGAGCAGCTCGAGCACGTGCTTTGCTTCGGGATTCATCAGCGCACACGAACGACGGGCCGATCGCTGTTGCTGGTTCCGAGTCGAGGCACTGGTCTTCGACTGCGGTGAGGTGGAAGCGACCGGTCCAAAGGCTTCCGGGGCGGTCACGGCCGCGTATCCGTGCGCGACAATGCGCGTCGTTTGGCCGCTGCCTCCTGCGTCGGGCGTCGACTGGATGTCAAAGCCGATGGTCAAGTGGTCCAA